CCCCAAAACCCCAAAACCCCAAAACCCCTCCAAACTTCATTAAGATTGAAACACTTGTTATGGTACCTTTCCCATGCTAATCTCTCTGCTTAACTCTGCTTAATTTTATCTTTTTCTTCTGTATCTCTCTTCAAGACCTTGAAGACCAGCACTAACATTGAAAGAGCGCCGATAGCTATTCTAGTTAAGATTTGGCTTACCTATAGAGGTGTTGATGTAGGAAACGTTCCATTCTGGAATCAGGAGCTCTTTGATTTCCAGGATTCTCTCACTTCCTGTATCTATATACTCATAAATGTCAGCCTCCAGCTGGTCTATTTCCTCAGCTGAGGGAGTTCCTTCCGCTGAGTAGAGAGAGCTAGAGGATTTGAACTTGAAAACCAAGGTTTTAAACCTTCCTTCAATACTAAGGAGGTAAGCCTCCATCTTGGCTTTAGTCCCTGGATCTGATATCTCTGTGATCTCTAAGTATTTTGTGATGTAAATATATGTCTGGACTTCATTCCTGACAAATATTTTCAGAGTCTCAAGCAACTGCTGGTGCTTTGTTGAGTTAGGACTGAACGTGATTATTTCAGGAATCCAGCTTCCAACATTACTGAATGGAAAGTTCAAACCTCCTAGAACTGCAATATTTGGGCAAGTAGAGATTTGTGAAATTATTTTTAGTTTTTCGCTTGGGTTTCTGTCTTCAGGAAAATCAACATCTTTTTGGAAGTATGCTACAAATGTGTAAATTTCATCATCAGATTTCCCACCATGAGACCCTATTGGAGTCAAGCCATGATCGCTGATTAATGCTATTGTGGTGTTATCAGGAAGGTTCTCAATAATTTCTTCAATGATCTGTTCAATATCTTTAATTTTTCGGTTCATTCCTTCTCCTAATGTATTGAAAGTATGTCCTGCATGATCGATTCCAAGTGTATGAGTCCATAGAATGTCCCAGTCTGAGTGGTTATGTATCTGATCCAAGACTCTCCTCCTGACCAAGTTATCATTATCATGAAGATTTGTAACATCAAGAGAGGGGAATATTTCATGCTCATCAAAAGAAGTAGGATAGAGGCCAAGCCAAAAATCATCTCCATACATTTTTATAGTCTTCCCCATTGCTTTTGCTTGATAAATTATACTATCTTCTACTATCTGTGATGAGACTCCTGCATTACCTCCTAAATCAAACACAAGAGGAACAGTGCCGGTTGACATTCCTCTAATTCTCTGATTCGTCACTGTTGGCATATCTGCAATAGAAGTGAACATTTTTAGCCTTTTCGGATATTTCTCCTTAAGCTTCTTAAACAACTGCATTCTGTATCCTTTATAGTCCCCAACATAGTTGATGAAGTCACCATCAACGAAGGATTCTCGAAGGGCATCTACCAAGATCACGATTAACTTCCGAGGAGGAAGAATTTGTGTGTTAACCTCCATTCTCTTTGTGAATAAATTCCGATCAGAGATCTCAGAGAAGATGCCGCTCTTTTCAATGGATTTCTCAAAAGCTATGACTTAGACTCGAATGTAATTACTCATATTATTCCGATCGGGCAAGATCTTTCTTGATAAAAATATCCCATCAAGCATAAGTTTGAGGGATAAAAAGAAAAGACCGACTGAAATGAAGTGGTATATTAGATAATTTCTTTTTACATTTTTGGGAATTTTTGGGCTATACAATTAACCAGGACTCTTACACTTTGTTGATATTTCCCTCTTGTACATTATCTGGACTTACTAAAGAGAAAAATTAGAGACACATTCTTAAAGATGAGTAAGTAGCGGCAATTCAGATTTACCAGAAATGTCTTTCTGCTTTTTCATATTTAAAAGTTCAATAATTTTATTAAATCTTGGGGTTTTGGGGTTTTGGGGTTTTGGGGTTTTGGGG